AACAGCCAACACATATATTTAATTACGCAAGTATTCAATGCTATCAGCCAGCTGTTGCCAGTACATAATACACTAACCTCTTTCACTCACTGGCCTGGATAAAATGGCAAAAACAAAGCAACTGTTGATGTAACAATAATCATGAAATATGCAAAACACTGTTCTCCAAAAAGATTTTAGATAAGTACTCAACTCAGTTTTGCATTTTAAAATGATTTACTACCTCTGAACTACTTCTCTGTTCCTGATTTGCAGATTAAGTTACCAATCTTTTAACTGTAAGTTTATCCTTCATTTGTTTTTATTCTTTTAAAAAAAATCAACCATGAGCTCAATTCTTAAATATACTTTCTAAATTCTTTCCAACCCAATTTCTCACTGGAATATGTCACTCAATAATCTTCTATCTTCTCCCTCAATCATCTGTATTTTTCCATAGTTAGTGGATAAGTAATTTAAAGAACATAACAGAAAATTAGTTAAAATCTGCTTAAAACACCCATAATTCTCATGCCTCACTTTAGGAATCAATAAAAACTTCTTTAACATTTCCAGAAGTTTGTTCCATGAGCTATTACAAAATAGCTCATGGGAGCAGCAGAGGGTGGGGGAGCACACACAAACTCTTAGCTGTAACATAAAGCACACTGTGTACCACTGTGACATGCATAAATTAGTAGAAGCAAAATATATTCATACATAGTAGATGATAAAACCTAATCTGGAAACAACATTTATCCAGAAAAATTTGCTTTTGATTCAATTCAAAGAACAACACTGTAATTATTTATGCTGTCTGAGAGCATAAGGATGAATTAGTACAGGAGAGACAACATCACTGCCCTGAGGAGCTGTGTCACCCCTCTCTCAAAAGCCTTTACATCAAGTTCACCTTCCAACACTAATGTCTTCCACCACAGCTCACTAGAGTTTTCACTTCTTCAGTTATGGTAGTGGTTTGTCTGGTGTTTGTACTCTGTCATTGAAGTTGTATAATTTGATGCTCAAAATAAAAGGCAACATTAAGGTATTGAAATATTTAAATTTCTTGTATAAATTATAATACATTTAACATTAACAATAACTTACTGATACACTGACAGCAGAATGATGATCCTCAACTCCAATAAAGAATCAGGTTAACCTAATCATACATTATATACCGTGTAATTCTGTGTGTGCCACAGTGAAAGGCACACTACCAGGTTGTTATCCAAATTCACAGCCCCTGCCTCAAAATGAGAGGCTTCAGTTAATCCAGTGCCACAGCCTGAAGCAGGTCCTGCTCCTTACTTTGGTGGGAAGAACAAGGCCCTGCCATGCACGGTGCAGCTCCTGCAGCATGACCAGGCGACCACTCTATGAAAGCAGGAGTCTCACAACTTTCCTATCTTCCCTGAGGAAAAAAACTATTTCTTAGCACTTTATATGCAAAATGTAAAAAGCAAGACAGCACAATTTCTTAAAAGAAGGCCCCTTAAAACAAATTTGAATATTAGAATGTTCTTCCCACTTTTTCCAGACACATACCCTGTCTCTGACAAGTGACTCACAACCCCCTTCAAGGACCATCCTGGAATAGTCTCTTCAGCCTACTAGTGGTATCTGCTTCCCAGGAAAAGAAAAAACCATTACATAGTCAAGTTACAGGTTCAAAGATCCTAAGCAAAAAGATTTTCCTGAGGTCAACCCTCTGACCTCATGATTCACAATCTAACAGAAGAATCAAATAAGTGAAATAATAATAATAGTAATAATAAAATGTAACATATGACAACAGACATTTGCAAGGGATAAAGCAGCAGCCCAGGACAAAGCACGGTCTCCTCTATGGACCATGGATAGAAAGGGTGAGCATTGGCAGGGAGATGATCTCACAGACACGGTCTTGGATATGGGTTCCAAAGATGAACTCTTTGGTCAGACAGGATGAACGTGGAACCGGGGTGGGGGGGAGTGTGCACAGCACACACATGCATCTGGGAGGGAGGAAGAAGATATGCTAGGGAGACAGGAAAAACATCTGCAAACATGTGCTTGAAAAACTATCATTTGGGATGAGTAAAAATCTATGAGGAAATGGCAAGAAAACAGGAGAAAGAAGGAATAAATTTTAAAATATCCGTTTATACTAAGAAATTATGGCTTTATCCTGTAGGGGAGGAAAACCTCATTAAAAGAGTTTAAAGAAGGGGAATGCATGAGCTAGAACAGAAAGGAGCAAGGAACAGACTAAAAGCCATCCTATAATACTCCAGAGAGGAGAGAGATACTGAGGACCTTAACCAAGGTAGCAGCAGTAATGATGGGGGGAAAGGATGCAATTCAAAGCTGTGTAACCATCCAATGACAATTTAATGAAACATAAGGACAAGGTATTTTCTTGCAGTTTCCAAGAGAAACACAACACTAGAGGTAAGAAAGCAGGAGGGAAGGGTTAAGGGAAAAAGATCGTTGAGAATGGGGCAAGATGGGGGAGGGAAACAAGCAATCCAGAAGACTGCACCCCAGAAGACAGGCAGCAGGGCAGGATGCTTACTGAGAACAGGGGAGGTCAGTCAGGAGGAGGTACACGCATGGGGCCCAGAAGCCATCAGTGGAGCATCCACATGGAGAATACAACTGGATTCTGAGCAGAAAGAGGTCAGACACAGCCTGAGAAGAAATCAGCCCAAAATACAAACTCATTCAGCATAGCATTGCTTAGAGAAGAGAAAAACCTTAGCAATATCGGACTGATAATATGAAGTCAAATAATCCAACATTCATAACTCACTTTCCACACAGCAGGAAACTTTCTGTGTGCACTGAAGGCTGGAGTAAGGAGGCTGTGAACAGTAAAAACAATCCACTATCTCTGTGACCGACACTTTAGATAGTAACAAACCTGACCCTGAAGTAAGGCACTACTTCACACAAAGTAGTGCAGTTAATTTGTTTAACAAAAAAGTTAATGAAATATAGCATTAAAAAATAAGTTTAACTCAAAATAACTCACATTAGCTAACTTGTTTCTTGCAAAAGGCCAGATCAAAAGCCAACATGATTTTATCTTCCGAAAAAATTTAATTGAAATGTTTAAATTAACTAAAACATTTAGTTAAAAATAATAGGAACTTGACTACTAGTAAGTTAAGAGAACATCAAAATCAGCTGTATTTTTAAAATTTTTTTTAAATTGGTTAATTATTAACTAAAAGAACAAGGATTTCTCTATTCCTAACCCATCAGGGTTTTTGAAGATTATTTTATAAATTCAAATTGACATAATAACCTAAAACCTTCCTCAACTTCAAGTCCAGAACTCAAAGATAAATCTACATAAAACAAATAATATTTTTACAACAAGAATGAGACTCCAATAATTTTTAAGTCTGTGCAACAGAATGTTATGTTAAGGAGCTTTGCTGGCAAGAAAAGATGTTATACACCAGGGATCCTCTGCTTCAAACACACTTTTCTTCTATATCCATTTTGTCAATTGTTCTTACAAGTAATTCCCCTCAGATATACAAATCAACTTGCTACAGCATTACCATTAATTTCTACAAGCAAAGGAGGTTAAAAGAGGGAATGATTCTCTCTATCCACTATCAGTATGGCTAAACCACAGTGCCCATTTGGGTTAAAATGTACAAGGTCAAACAGAGGTTGTCAGTGCATGATCAAAGCAAGCTGGCTATTCTTCCTGTCATTTATACAGAACACACAAGATGTGTTTATTTTCACCAGCCTCTCAATGACCTCCTTTAGGTGGCATGGAAAAGATCCCACATTTCTATAAAGCACTAGTCAAAGGAGTTTTCTTATTTGATACTCTCATTAAGAGCAAATTTTATTTTTTTTGAAACTTTTGATCTTTTTCATTTACTCAAGAATCCCTCAAGTTAAAGGCCATATTGTCTCAATCAAGTTGGGATAATGGACAAAATAAGGACAGGGCAACTGAGAAATGCTCAGGAGGAAATAGCTGCATCCACCAGACTGCCTCATAAAACCTGGGGTGAATGTGCATTTTTCAAAGTTCATACAGGCATTAGGATTTAAGTTTAAAAGCTGTCCAGCAAACTTGATCTTACTTCTATTTTTGCTATTTAAAACTCCTACTCTTTTAGTGATCTCAAAATTAATAATATATTGTACTGTAAAAACGTGTCACAAATTCTCAATTCCTAGTTCTTAACCAATGAGACTTTATTGACCAAATAATTCCCAGTGTAATTTTCTTTGCTCCTGTTAAAATGAGGCAGTCTTCTGCCTGGTAGTTCAAGAAATAAAACTAAGTAATGAATAATTAAAGACAAAACAACTATTAAATACTAAAAACACATTGGAAAGGAAACAAAAGCAGATGATCAGAGATGATGACACACTGGCAGTGAGTGGCAGGACGTGGTGGTGGAGGACTTGCCTATAGCTCAAGGGCCTGGGTTCAGTCCCCAGCACTGCCCAAGAATAAAAGGCAAAGTAATCACTGTGATGAAAGGGTCCAGGTTAGAAAATCATAGGACCTGTTCTGCTACTGCAGTCTTCAAATATAGGCAGAAGAAACCATGTGTGAGAGAAACAGCAGAGGCAACCTGCTAGCACACTCTCCTTAAATTTAGATTTTACTCCCATGAGAAACCAGTGTCATCCCAGGTAGTGCAGGTATCACAACAGCTAGAAGAGAGCCAGCAGGCACAGCAGAGAGAGAAGGTAAGGGCTGCCTGCCACGAGGGCACAAAGAACGCAGCGGATTTTCCAGAAGAACATGGAGAACACTTAACAGACATTCAAATCATCTACTAGGAAACTACGCGAATACAAAAATCATATTAGAAAAGGTCTCATTAAAGCTTTATTCTTTATCAGGTAAACTCAAAACAGAAAAGTAGAATGCATAGGTTTTTTTTAATCCATGCCCAATATTTATGGGTCATACCTAGGAAACTTTTCATTGACATTATTACCTTGATTATTAAAAATAGGGGGTAAAAAACAAAACAATTTCCACTTACTTAATTGAGTTTCTAAAGTGATCTTCGGCTGGGTTTTTTACAGTACAACTGTTCAGAAGCCATAAATCTGCTTCGGAAGAATTTTCTAGTAAAAATAAAATGAATACAAAAAAGAAAAGTTAAGTATCACATTTAATCACATCAAAAATATCCAAGTGCTTACCCAGATGGTAGGAGACCGATGGGGGAGGGGAGAAGTGTGAGAGGCAAGTAAACAGCCAATTACACTACAGTAGGTAATTGCTGTAATATGGAAATATTCATGAGCAATAAATACAAAAATGTGTATTCTGTGCTGTATCTTTTCACTTAAAATGTAATAAGACAAACATTTTCTTCCTTAATTTTCAGTGTACAAAAGTATTATTTAATAACTTCTACAAACCAAAATGAAACTGACCTAACCTTCTCTGAATATAAAATTAACTGCCCCCTTTTGGACTGTGTTAGTATTTTTTAGGCACAGGTATGAGCAAATACTGAGTAGTTTCAATTTGAGAAGTTATTAAAAATACTAATTTGCCTGCCTTGAAGAACTCATGATTTACCTCAAAATGAGTCATTTCTATCACCCGTTTGATTAAATACTGTTAGCAAATATAATAAACACACTGGCAATGGAATAATCCAAACCAGGTTTATTAAATGAATATACAAATCCCTAGGGCACCTACCTCTCTACCTTCTTTTTCAACGCCTCAGTTGCCTAAAATAGGATTCATTAAAATGGGATTACCATAACTAAAGGAAACCAAAAGTGAAAACTAGCCCTTTCCATAAGAACAGAAGCAAATGGCATGAAGAACCAAGTGCACATGCAGATCTCTGTGTACACGTGCTAACTGGGAAGGAAGATTCAAGCCAGAGCACTAGGTCGGAAGGATCAGAGCTTCTGGTAATTTGGAAATAACCCCTCCCTGGTTTTTTTATTAATATAGTAAGATCTTCTTATGAAGAGGCAGAATTTTTTTTAAAAAATCCTTAAAATAATAAAAAGGCAAGTCCTTACCACTGTATACCAGCTGAAAACTATGATTTCCTCCTAAGCCGTCTGGCCCTTTCATTTATTCTTCATTAGAACCCTGCTTCTCCACTCAGCAATGAGGGTGGCCTTTCATACAACATAAACGTGATTATGTCACTTCCCTGCAAAACTCAGAAAGGATGAGTATCTGCGCACCTTCGCTTTGTTCCCTCCACGTTATTCCCCCACAATACCAAGGAAAAGATCATTCCTCTATCAATCTCATGTTAGCACCACCCCAACTCTCCAGTGATTGACAGTTGGCATTCAAGGCCCATCCAGACCTAGCTGCCTCCTCCCCAACTTCTATACTCATTTTCCCCTATTTTCATCTTTCTGCAATCACACAAACTCCTTCTCACCCTTCAGTTTCAGCTTCAGGCTTGTTAGATCTCTTTCTCTGCACTCCTCTAACAGACTGTGTGCTAAGAATATTCTTACACTTTATAATTCTATGTTAAAAGCATTCATTTTCCAGTCTGTCTCTATTAAGAGATCCTAAAGACAACATTTTAATCAGCTGTTCTCTGGATAGTGGATATCTAAATATTAATACAGTGATGAGTATAGAACAGACATCCTAAGAGCCACGGGACACTAAGCAATAGGCAAGTAGGTGCAGCATGAAGAAGGACTGACAGAGGCATCAGGTGTGTGGGACCTTGTGCCTACGGCACGGATTCCAGAAGTCCTGAAAACCAACGCTGATCTGAAATAAGTTTCAAAAGAGACATTGACTTATTTAACAAATACTTAGAACTGAGATGTTGCCTTATTCATAGCCATACCCTATAACTTGTTTCAGTTTCTGGCATATGACAGATAACCATTAAATATTTACTGAATTACTATTGAATCTTAAAAAGACAGCTCATTACTATGAGTAATGTATTGTAGATAAGAAAAAGTCACAGAGATCTGTTAACCTATGTTAAAAAAAATAGTGATTGTGGATTTATTTTTTTAAGAAACAAGCAAATAGCCAATCCTAGTGATGAAACATCTGTACCAAATGTCAGCTATATATCTTGACATATTCTTTGCAGTTACATTCAAGTTATTAGATAATTTATACCACCATCCTTCTCACAGGGAACTCCAGCAATATATAAAAGGAATTATTCTATTTTGCCTATTTTGTATTCGAATTGTGCCAGTGTTGACTTCTGGAATAAAGTGATTGCAGTACCAATAACTGCAAACAATGGGAATTCTATGACTATACCAAACTGCCTCCAAAATTACAGAACCTTTTAGAAAAGCACCCCGCAAGAGAGAAAAAGAACATGACATCTCAATGGACTCCAAAGATACTCAATTATTTTTTATTTTCTTTCTTTTTTTTTTTGTCTTTTTCCTTTTTATCAGTACCGGGGATCGAACTCACAACTGCCTGCTTGCAAGGCAGGCGCTTATGCCGCTGAGCTAAATCCCCAGCCCCCTTTTTCTTTCTTTTTTTTTTTTTTTTAACAGAAGCAAAGTTTTATTAAAGGTAGGAAAAGAAACAGGCTTTAGAGAGTGAGTCAGGGCCAAGTAAAAGTAGGAAAAGAAGTGTACTCTAGAGCATGAGGATGGACCAGCATGCAAGAGAGAACACAGTGACCAATACTCAAATACTTCTGAACTCCACACTGTGTTAGTACATCTTATTAAAAATTATCCAAAGATGATTCTACTATGATTTAAACATATAAATCAAATAGAAGACACACAGGGTAACGATTTCTTATGTGCTCTGGCACCTATAAGAAGTACTAGGGATATAGCAATGAAAAGAAGTCTCTCTCGTCAAGCAGTTCTCAGTCATTATGAGGAAATCTGACTCAAAAAATTAGAAAACAAATTTTTAAAAAGGCAGAGAAACAAGCGAGGTAAAGTCAGGTATCTTTTGATAATATGAAGATGTTTAAACAGGGCAATGGACAGACAAAAACAGAGAAGCTGCCAGATAAAATAAGCCTCTCATGGAAGTTGAACTGAGTTGTGGCAAATGATGGGAAGGAAATCTTGCCACGCAGGGATGGGAAAGAGTGCAGATACAAAGGCCATGAAACAAACCAGGCCTGTTATGTCCTAGGAACAGAGAGGAGACCAGGGTGAACGGTATGGAAAGGAAAGAGAAAAAGTCAGGCATGTAGACAAATTTGGTCAGATTATTTAGTTTAATCTTTTGGAATATTCACTGGATTCTCACTAGCAAATTAAGAACTCTGGATTTTTCCCTAAATGTAACATGGAGACTCTACAGATTTCTTAAACAAGCTAATAACTACTTCAGAAAAGCCCTCTGGTACACTGTGAAGACTCCAGGTGGGATACTGGTCTCCTACCCCACTACCAGAAGAAAATATCTGACACTACAACTTCAGAAGAAAACTGTGGCTCATTGTTGCAGAGGTTTCAGTCCACGGTCAGCTGGCTGCAAGGCAGGAGCATCACAGTGGAGGGCAGGGTGGCGCACAGCTTCTCAGATCCTGATAACCGGAAGCGGAAACGGAAAGCAGAGCACAGGGCCCCACCTCTTAACAGCACATTAAGCTACGAACAGCAGTGGGTTAATCCACTGATAATTATAGGGCCCCCAGAAACCACAGGAGCCTCCTAATCCCTTCAAGTCAACAGTTTTGCTGGCACAACACAACAAAAGCAAAGATGGGGACTGGCAAGGGTTGTTAAGTCAACAAAACAAGCTGAAAGCTGATGTCCTTGGTAAAGAATAAGTGAAAGACCACAGTAGAATTGCAAGAGTGGGAAGTGAGCTAGGTCATATTTTGGAAGTAGAGTGTGTTAATCAGCGATCATTATAATAAAGTTCCTGAGATTAGTAACTTTAAAGAGAAAGTTTATTCGAAAACTCTAGTCCATAATGAATTAGTCCCTTTGTTTTAGACTATGGCTAAGCAAAACATCATGGGAGAAAGGCCTGGCACAGTAAAATAGCTCATTTCATAGGCAGGCAGCAAGAGAGCGAAAGGTCCTATAATACACTCAAGGTCATACTGCCAGTGACGTAAGGATCTTCTAGGCCCCATCTTCCCACAGTTTCACGAAACAGAAAGTCAGGCATGGTAGGGAACACCCATAGCTCCAGCACTCAAGACACTGAAGCAGAAAGATCATTTGAACCCAGGAGTTTAAGGTCAACTGACCAATCTTTAAAAATAAACAAATTTGTAAAATAAATAAATAAATAACCAGTAAGACAGAAGTCTGAGCCTTTAACGCATGAATCTTTGGGGAACACTTGAACAGAGTAGAGAGTCAAGAGAATTATAGAGAAGTTAAACAATAGATGTACAAGAAAGAATCCAGCTGGATAATTAAGCATACGTTAAGGATTTTGTTCTGAGTATCAGCTATCTGTGGTGCCATTGATATCAAGAAGGCCTGGACACAGATTTGGGAAATAGAGACTCATAGTTTTGTTTTGTCCATGTCACTTTTAAGATCACTCTTAAATTCCCAGCTGGACTTTGTACATATGAAACAGATGTTCAGGGATAGGGGTCTTGCAGAAAAATGATTTAGTCCTTTCCTTCTACATGCTGTGATATCATCAATCAAGGAAAGGGAGAGGGAAGAGGAGATATGCAGGCCATACAGATATCTGGTAAAGAAGTTAAGATGTAAAGCGAAAGCCAGGAACGATGATGAGACATGCCTGTAGTGCTAGTACTCTGGAGACCGAGGCAAAAGGGTCACTTGACCAGGAGTTTGGGTTAACCTGGATAAGCCTGTAAAAAATGATTCAATTTGTGAAAAGGAATAGCCACGACGAAGGACAAGAAAACTAAGGAACACAGTGGCACTTAAGTTTGGAAAAGAACGTGTTTTTAAAAACAGAATAGTCAATTATGCTAACCACTAAGAATTCAAGGAAGTTATTAATATTATTAACAAAATGACAAGACAGTACTCCATGGTTTTCATTTTCTACTATCAAGTAAAGTGTTTGTTGACTTTGTGCCGACCCACAATTACCTAGCAAAAGCCTTTTTTACAAATAACACAGAAAACAAACTCACTACAAAAGCAAAGTAAAGAGGAAAACTGTGTAATGG